TAAAGGTAGCAGCAGTGTAAACTGCCCAGAGTTGCAAGTATTTTTTGCATTACCGAAAAAGCTTTTCCTTATACCCATATTCATAAGTTGTTTTTCATTAATTATTATTATTATTTTTTTAATGAGATGAAGGAATGTTACCAAGAACTTTCAATTTTTTTACTGTAATATCAGTATATCAAATAATAATATCAAAGGGTATATTCTTAGGAGTTATATCGGTTTTTATGTAGGAAATACATCCCGGAATGGCTTAATTTTATTTTAATGCTTCCAAATTGAGACAAGCTCGTCCAGTTTCAGGATTTTACTCCACGAGCTTAACAAATGTTTAACCCTCTATGGACTTGTACATAATAACTGTTTAAAATAGTTTGAAATAGCTCTATTTCTTTTTCTTTTAAATTTTTTTCTGAATAAATTCAGTAATGTTAGACTACAACAACCAACACCACTGGCGCAGAGTTAAAAACAATAATACCAAAAAAGTTGAAGTTTGATAACACTTTTACCCAATTTTTTTTTTTTTTTTTTTTTTTTTTTGACAGGTTGTATTGAAAACCATACTACAAATGAATTTCAAAACTTCAACCAAAATGCAGTTGGGTTGAAACCCGTAAGTACAAATACAAAGAAAAAACAAGAAAGGAAGGGCTAAGATCGGGGTGCAACAAATATTTTATGCTTTCTCAACTTGCAAGAATCAAACCCAGGGAAGTACCTTAAGGTGCAAACCGTCAACGCGAGAATCGGAATTTATGCAATTATATTAAGTAGTCAAAAAAGTCGTGCGGTATTTTCGCTAGTTAGCGCTGAGAGCGTTTTATTCGGCCCATCGGGTCATGCTCTACCTTTCTGAAAGGCTCATTTCACGCGCCAACACGTGTTTGATTGATTGTCGTTTCTTTTAAGTCGTTCGTGAGTTATAGCGTTGCAAACATGGAGCAAAATAAAGRGAAAATATGGCATATTTTACAGTACTACTACGATAAAGACAAAAATGTATCTCAAGCTGCCAATAAAATTTGTGCAGTTTATGGACCCGATACAGTTTCCATTTCCACCGTACAACGATGGTTTCAACGTTTTCGTTCCGGTGTAGAGGTGGTCGGAGATGCGACACGCTCCGGAAGGCTTGTCGTCGAAAATTGCGACAAAATCGCTGAATTGGTCGAAAGAGACCGGCATAGTAGCAGCCGTAGCATCGGTCAAGAGCTGGGTATGAGTCATCAAAAAAAATTTAATGAACAATTGAAAATTCAATAAAAATAAGCCGTAGCATCGGTCAAGAGCTGGGTATGAGTC